ATTCTGTTCATCTACATTGATGATATTGTGATGGCTTTCATAACTCCAATAGCCAACTCCATCAACAGTTCAAACAATGTCTCACTGAACTGTACAACCTCAAGAAGATGGAAGACCTTGCTTAGTTTCTTGGTATACATTGTAACGACACAGGTAAGAGAGGAACTCCGATATGGGTTCAAATCCGCTACGAGGTGTATGGGAGCACTGGGATAGATAGAACTAGGAGTAAACCTCTATTCCTATAGGTCTTGTACAAAAGGATACTCAAAAACTATCTACCATAACTATGTACACTGCCCTGCTTATATACCTAACAGTTCGATGTAGCTCAGGGGATACCGGTACATAGTAGGGTAGGGATCGGATAGGAGTCGAATAGCAATCGTGTGAGTAGTATGAGGAAGAACGGTTGGTATGGTTCTTACATACATATTGTTTGAGACCATTCAAGTCAACATACTTGGCTAATTCAGGATGCCTACATTGAGAAGGTCTGCTCTCAATTCAATATTGAGACACCACCAACCAGTCAATTCCCAGACACTCCAATCACTGACAACTGGCTGGATCCATCAGATGAAGAACCAAACAAAGAACGCATAAAGCTCTACTAACAGCTTGTTGGTTCCCTTGCCTATATTGCTGTATGGGGCAGACCTGATGTTGCTCAAGCTCATCTTATATTAGTTTCCCATCTCATCAACCCAGGCCAGAAACATGTAGTTAGGCAAGAAAGGTTTGGCTCTACATACTTGGGACAAAAACACTTGCTCTCCAAGCCTCATCTTCAGCAAATACATTGGAACCTGAGATGAGAAAATACCACACTGATGAACCAATCAACCACCCATTGTTTTATGGAGCTTCAGATGCATCTTATGCTGATGAACCAGAGACTTGTCAAAGCTCACAAGGATATGCTTTCTTCTTTAGAGGTCTCATGATTGACTGGAAATCAACAGTCCAACATACTGTTACCAAATCAATCACTGAGTCTGAGCTGCTTCCATTGTCACTCACAGGTTCTCAGATGATTGAGTGGATGCGCTTCTTCAAGGGGATATCACTCCATCTTGATTCAACACCAACAATTCTATGTGATAACCAGCAAACCATTGGTATAGTCACAAAGAAGGAAGACCAACTTAATACCAAAGTCAAACATGTTCATATCCATCAGCTATGGGTTCAACAGGAAGTCTTAGCTGGTCAACTCAATGTGTCCTGGGTTTCTACCAACAACATGCCAGCTGATGGACTCACAAAGACATTGCCCCATCAGAAGTTCAAGCAATTTGTCCATCAGTGCAGACTCATTGATATCAAACAACAACTCAATGTTCTCAAGCAGAAGACAATTGACACAAAGGATCCTAATATCCTATTTCCTAACCAGTTTTAACACAACTTGATCTATCTGATTTCATTTTGGCCATTACAACAATGACCAAATTACTCTGTTACAGCTCCAACAACTCAACTTCGTCAAGCTATCATCATTCCACACTTGTTTCCTTGTTAGACCTGGGGGGTGTGTTGCAGTACAGTAAGAGGTTGAGTAAAAGGATCAACTGGACCAGACTCCTTCAAACAGTATCAGTAACATAACAGCTTCATGGTCAGTTCTACTTTCCGTTCATTCACAGTATATAAACACACAGCTTGAGTACAATACAACTTCAGTGAACCTCAATATCCATTGCCCAATACCAATTATCTTCAGTACCATTACACTTACCTTGTGCAGGAAGTCAGACATATGCTACTTCCATAAGGGTCGGGGCATTGTAAAGAACTCCAAGACGTCCTTGTGGGTTCTGTATTGATCTTGGCGAGTGGGATTATCAACGTTGTAGTCCCACAAGATGTCCAACATACAAGCTATGCCTTTGTAGGCGCGAAACATGTATCTGCAGTGTTCGTTCAAGTTGGCGAATCCGCTCGTGTTGCGGAGCCACGGTGATTGTAGGATAGATGAGGGAGGACAGGGAGGGGGGGTGGATTCAGTGACGAGGTCGTAGAGAGCATCCCAGATCTCTTCGTCAGGTGCGCACCTAACAACTCGGTCGCATAAGATAACAGTGCGCTGAATATCGTATGCTTTTGATGTAATACTAGGAGTAAAGCGGTTGATGTCGTTGAGGAGCGTTGCGTTTTGGAATTTGGAAGGGAGTTGATTAGAAGCTGGAAAGTTCTGGAATGCTAGTAACAGATTACGCAATAGGTTTTTGGGATCTACCATATATCAGGGCTCACTGTTCTTAACGATGTAGAGCACTGCTTCCGAGAGGCTCAGGATCTCCAGCTCTGTCTGCGTGGATCTGAATAAACCGCGAAATAAATCCAAGCCCGAGTCTATAGGATTGTCGTTGATTAAGTTTGACTTAGATTTGGAGGCCATTCCGAGAGAGCCCAACAAACGACGTGTTCACAAAAGATGTTTAGAACAGGCGTAAGGATGAGAGACGCGATGTCGTGAGTCCAAAGGCTGGGCAAAACGTCGGTGTCTTTAGCAGGGCCAAGGGATTTGCCAAGCACCAGCAGACGTGCGAGCCAATAACTTGAATACCAGTAGTAAGGGCTAACACAGTGTAAGGCAGTGTTTTAGCACTAGAAACCCATAGCGCAGCACGTCCTACATGCCCTTCAGGAGGCGAGATGATGAACTCAATCCCCATGCTTCAGACGGAAACTAATCCCCACCAACCAACCAACTACTGTAGCTGTAAGCCCAGGGCACTACACATGTCATGTGGTCTATCCACTGACTAATCAGTCCACTACTCCATGTACATACGCCGCTGTTGAAGTCATACTTTAAGCAAAGCCCGTAAGTACTATTTGATTGGTTCTCGAGGATGAGCTCTGGTTCTGGAACAGTAGGGGTAAGTTGCCTGGGTGAAACACCAAACAACGGCTTGGGGTAACAATGAGTAGTACAGGCAATCTGTCTAGCTTGAAGGTTGGTTGAGATCCAATGACAAACTTAATTGACAAGGTTGAACACAAACCATAAGGGTTGTGTTCCTATATGCTATATACTAAACGTGTCTATGTGGTGATCTGTCTGCTCTGTGTGATCTGACAGCGCAGTGAGAGCAGTGGGAGCGTTCATGCAGGGTGCTCTGCATGCTCTGTTGCTGTACGTTGGATTGTGAGATCAGTGAGAGCATATATGCAGTCTGACAGTGGGCCTTGTTCCCGTCTCAGTTTAACCAAGACTTGCCACTGCTCTGTTGTTGCCTACATTAGCGTGAGAGCAATCCTTGTCAGTGCTACCCAGTGTACCACTGATCGTAACACCCTGTTACGATCCATGAACAACTCGCAAAACAACACTGAACAAACAGGACTACACAACGAGACGAGAGCAGCCAAGGAACTGCAGTATCAATTGACCAAGCTGTGAAGCCGCGTCAGTGATACCCAGTATAATCAACACTCGCAATATCTGTTATACAAACCAAGATTGTACACAAAGGACTGCAGTGGATACAACGTGGATCTTGTACACAAACGATCATCACGGACCCATATACCAACCCACTTGCAGAGGACCCACGTCAACAACAATCAATAGGACACAGAGGACCAAGTATCAAGGTCATGTCGACAACGCTCGATTGGACCAAGTATCAAGTCACTGACAATACTTGATATGAGCAGTACAATCAATCCTCCTGTTAAGTATATAAGCAAGTAGACACGCTGCCCTTATGGCATCGTGTTCAACCTCATCAATCAACTTTGTTATTGGAATCTCACCTGCTCTCGAGCCAGACAGTATACTCTGTACTACTCATTGCAACCAGTCGCCATGGTCTTTGACTAG